ACACATTAAGCAACTGTAAAAAAATTGGTTTTTCAATATCAGAATATGTCTGATGATAACTGAAATGCTTTTGAGATTTCTGTTAATCAAAAATGCAAACACATAAGACTTAATTATTTGATAATAGATAGCATTTAAAATATTCACCATCTTAATTTTTCTTATTAATGCAGTATTAAAACCATTTCTAATAAATACACTTTTCACTATACTTAAGACCTAAAACCTCATATTCTTATAAACATATTAAATTGATTCAAAAGCTTTATAAATTAGAAAAAAACTATATCAATCATAACATTATTGATATTAAATAAATTATTCTATATAAAAAGATGCATTTATTTTCGTTAGAATTTGATATTATACTTTCAGATTTTAGCCATTTTTCAATTCAAAACATCAATATAATTAAACCTTTACTGCTTGACTTCTGAAAAATTCTCACTACAATGGCTAAATTAAATAAAGCAGAATTTAAGATAAAAGTAATTAATAAAGCTATTGAATGACAATGTGCAAATTTAATTGATAATTAAAAAACTATATTCAACTTCTTATTAGAATAACCTGCATTACTATCCTATTAGATAAATATATAAATAATAATAGTTCTGATAAAGAATTCCTTATAGATCTAATAGATGTTTAAAATAAAACTGCTTATCATTTTTAACAAGTAGTAGACTCATAATGCTCTAATCTACTACTCCCTGAAAAATGAAAACAAGTCTACATCCTAGATGATTCTATTAATCACATTCAATTATGCTACCTTTTTTAAAAAAAGAATAGTACAATATCCTTAAGACGTTCCCAATAATAAAGCTCTTAGGCTATCAAAAATATTTAATAAAATGTTAAAATATCTGATTCCTTTTTAGCTAAATACCTTTAGATCATTATATATAAATATTTATCACTCAATTTATCACCTAACAGATGGAATTTAACTTTTATTTATTTAATTCTTAAACTAAAATCTTGGAAATATAATATCACAAATACTTATCTAATCACTCTTTTAGAATATTTACATAAAGCGCTCATTAAGCTCATTAATAGTAGATTCTTGAATATTTTATCAACTAATAATATTCTTAAAGGAAATTACTTCATTGATCTACCCTGTAAAAGCACTTTTAAACTGATACATATTTTTGATAATATCAAATATAATGTTTCATTTTATTACAATAATTTATAGATATTATTCTAAGATATGTTAAAAGCATATGATTATATCAATATTATAATATTAATTAGAGCTCTTTGATATTTTCGTATTTCAGAATCTTTTATTAAATTTTTGATTTTATTTTTTCTCTTTCGATATAATTAAGTATTTACTATGTATTATAATTATTATAATATAAATACATATTTAGTCCTTTTAGAAATTGATCAAAAAGAAATTATTTTCCTTATCCTTTAGTATATTTATTATGATTCTTTGTTATATTTTGTTTAAAACTTAATATTTAGCTTTATACAACATATTCATTAGAGATCTGATATTACAAAGTGCAATACATAAAGCTTTTTGAATTATGTATCTACCTTCACTTATATAAATGATACACTTTGGATGATAGATTTTAAAGCTGATTTCTAAAATATAATGACTATTACAGATTTTTTCTACACCTTTAATAATATATAAGTCAATTGGAATAAGTCAGTATTAATAACTAATAGTAAGAATTTCAGCTCAATCAATTTTAAGTTTAATGATAAAGATATCTGGCTTTTATCATTATTATATAAAAAATCCACAAAATATCTAAAAGTCTAAGTATTTCTTTTTAACAATAACCAATTCATTATAAATTAAATTCTTGATGAATTTGTAAAAACAAAAAATATGCTCAATAAGAAAAAGCTAATTACTAAATATTTGATCACAATCTTTAATATAGTAATTATCCTTTATATACTTTATAAAACTAAACTTACTTTTATATCTTAGTTAACTTGCAAAAGTCTTATGGCATTCTTCAGAACATTCTTCAAAAAGAAATTATGTCTCATTAGATTTATGCTATCTTTAGCTCTACACTCAATCTTTAGGTATAATTTAGTATATTTTTATGATAAACAAATATAAACTAAATCATCTAATTTCTTAAAGATGATTAATGACATTTTCTTACTCAGTTTTATTTCACAGCTATATAACTTACAACTTCAACTTTTAGAATGGTTACTCTTATCTTCTCTAACAGATTGGCTTTATAGCGATACAAAATCCTTTAAAGATTGATGGTATAATTTTTTATCTGCTGTGAAGTATAATAGCTTTAAACTCTAATAATGTTTAGATAATGATTATAAATTAAAATAGATTGATGATAACTATATACCTATCTCACATATTTTTTCTCTAAAAATCTACAGACAAAATATTATTAAGCTTTATATACTATTACTCTTATTTACAGTTTTTGATCTTAATATAATATATGACTTAATATTCTATAGTACTAAATAGTTCACTCAATTAGAATCAGAGCTCTTAATTAACACTATAACTAGATAATAAATCTTAGCTATCTTTCTCACATATTATTTATTAAAGCATTGACCTAATCCACTAATTTTACTGTTTCAATAACTAATCTAATTTTTATAATTATTTGGTCTAATCAATACATGATATTTATTTTGAGTTAAATTGTCAAAGTAGAAGATACAGTTATCTATATATAATACTATCTATTAAATCAATCTAAATATCACTATATGTCTATTATTCCTTATATTAAATGCAATCTTTTTAATTCTTTAGCTCTTATATCATATAAATAACAACAATGACATAGTTTTTATACTATTAAGCTACCTATAATATAATGTATAATATTTAAAATTTTTTATAAATCTCATAATAATTGGTGATATAGTCTCTTACATCTGATGCTACAAGAATTAGCTTTATCAATACTGATCTTTCTATATCAATATCTAACTAAATCTTTGCCTAATTTATCTATTTTTTCTTTTGATCAATTATCTATTAATAGATTAGATTATTTTAAAACTTAATTTATTAATGCTAACTTCTTTTAATTTTAAACTGATAGTTCTCTTACATCTATAAGATCTTCTAACTACTAGATAGGAATTATATAATTATAAACTGATTAGAATTAGCCATCATTCTTCTTTAATGTTATACTTGTTTTACATTTACCTTCTTTTACATTAGTGAAAATAATTGCTATCATTACTACTATTTATACTGTACCTTCTAATGCTAATATTAAAATTTATACTAATTTACTGCTATAATTACATCATATACAAAATCACTAGACTATGTAAAGAATCTTCTTCTCTAAATTTAACATTCAAAATTTCTTATTTTCATATTTAGATAACAATATTATACTTCATTATTACTCACAAATTAAAGTAACATTTACTAAAGTCAAAGTATATAGGATGACTAATTTAATAATTAAGTTAATCTTTTGGCAAAATAGCTTACTAACTAATACTCCTTTAAGCATTAATTATAATCACCTTGATCCTAAATACTTTGTTTGTTACAAAAACACATTCATAATTATTTTACTTTGCTAATTTATCAAATATTTGTAATAAGCCTCTTGGGCTAAAGCCTTCTTAACCTTAACAAATATAATAATTTCTATATTAATTAGCAATCTCTATTTTATATTTTAAAAACTCAGAAAATGCTAGAGTTATATCATTCAATATATCTAAAAGAAAATAATTCAAACTTAAATTAATTTTACAACTACTTCCCACTCTGAAAGTTATAAATATTTGTTATCTATAAATTAATACTTTAAATAACTGTTTTTATTGTCATTTAGCAATAGAGACTTTACATATATTTAGTTTTATTCTAACAATATAACTTTACTCAATAACATTATTCAAGAATACAAATAATCATTTATATTTCAACTAAATGATCTTAATAGACCTAATAATGATATATCAGTAAACTATATAGATTAGTCTCCAATATTAAATTGTAACACAACAAATAATAATTTATATTTTATTAACCTATTAAAAGGAATTATACCTTTATTCTTCTTTTTCTTAATTAATGCTATCATAAATAACAAATAACTCACCCTTGATTTATTATCACCCCTATTTGATAATATATTTTCTTCAGTTCACAGTATATAGTTAAAAAGATGTGAATTATTACAATCTTAGAAATTTTTAAATAATCAAAGATGATTTTACTATAACTTAAGTTTTTGTTAGTTTCTCCTATACTTTACAAATACTTCTCACTAATTCTACTTTCTTCATTATAGCTATTATTTATGATATTCACTGGTCAAATTCTGATATAGCAGTAACTATGCTCTTCCTTCTAGACATTTGATATCTATATCTTAGTTTAATCTAGTTCTCTTTTCTTTTTTAATATATAGTTTAATTTAGTAAAATACAAGTTTAGTATTGATAAAAAAGTTTAGTTTACTAGATTAGTTTATAAATATTTTGTATTTTCTGTTTTATTTTGATTTTTTGTAAATTTATAAATTTTAATAAAGATTATGCAAGACTGCTACATTTTAAAAAAAATTCATTTTTATACATTATTTTTAGATATAATAATGATGAATTTGATTTAAATATTATATTGAACAAATAAATACAGTATTAGTGTTTATTATTTAATACTACATATTGTAATACTTAAAGCAAAAGAAAATTCTAATAATAATAAAAAATATTTTTTTTTGTGAATAATATATTAAAAATTTAGAATTAATTAAAAATCAATCTATTAAAATTTGTTGTGATGAAACAATTTTTCTTAGAGTTTATTAAATTTTATCAAAAAATTTAAGAAATAGACTTATATTAGGATAAATATTTTATCAATATCCTAATGTTCAGTAGATGAATTATTACATAATAGATATAAGGATGCCTTTTATCTTTACACTGAGAAATATGAGTACATAATGTAATAATGTATAAGTATAATATATGTCTAGCACTCAGTTCAACTCTTCTTTATACAGATATAGCACAATATCATATTCTATTTGTTCAATTTCCTAACCATAATAACTGCAACTTTTGCTATCCTTGAAGTATTGTAATATCAGGGATCTGTTGTTCTGCTATCTGTAATTACCATTTTCATATCTAATAATTGATTCGATCTCAATATATTACTTGCTTGGCGAAATGTTTTAACATATGGATTTGCATCATTTAACATTTATTGAAGTTTTATGAGAAAATTAGAATCAAGATTAGGCATTATGTTCATTTTGTTTTGCAGCTCATTATCAGTATTATATATGTATATTTGTAGAGGTTCTTCATTTTTTAAGGAGTAAAGTGTCTATACTATGATAAATTTCTCTATGAATACAAAAATTAAAGATACCTCTAGTTTTTATTATAGTTTCATCAATTTTTACACTTAATGAAATAAATGATAATGTGGAATTATATATTTTAATATTTTATCGAAATAAATGTGAATGATGATCTACTGCAATAAGATCTATTCAAAGGAAATAATAATTTATGCAAAGGGGAAGAAGAATCTTGTCTTTAGTGCAGTAAGTAGAGAAAACTAGCGATTTTTCAGATATATTTACTCTTTCATCTAACCACATAATAGTCTACAGTTGTAATATTTATACTTAGTATGTGACATTCTAATCTATGAGAAATCCATGGATAGTCTTTAGTTTAGTGATACATTTTCTTTTTCATTTGATATTCTCAGTTGACGATAATATTTCTGACGTTCATTTTCTAATATTTTTGAAGAGGATCACTATTCATATCTTTATATAAGAATGAGCAAATCTTATAATTATCTTATATATAAGGTGAAAAAGATAATATGCTAAAAATTAAATATGAATAAGTGATAACATACTTTATTGTTATACAGAGTGAAGTGAAGGATTTTATGCGTAATCAAATTCATTAAACTTAAACTTTAGACTCTAGCTTTTTATTTATTACGTATAGTTAATGTTTAATATAGTAATAGTAATAATGTTATACAATCAAAATTGAAAATTATTTATATAGGGTATTGCAAACGTTACAGTATAAACATTTAATGATTGTAAATATAAAATAATGCACATTCCGTTCTTTCATTACATTCCTTTTTTTAATAACTATAATGTAGTATAAAAGAAAATAGGCTAAAATAGGATAACTTGTTAGAAAAAAAGTTCTTCACAATGAATCAAAAAAAATGATTTTGAGGTTAAACGTTTTTTCATATAACACATTGATGCTTTCGAAATAAAAATTTTTTTTAACATAAGAGACACATTATAATATTTAGCTTTATATTTTTTGTGGTATTTATTTATAGCAAAATTTAAAATTAGTTCTAGTAATATTAAATTAAAATCAATTAAAGTTCTGTGACTCCTCTCACACCTTCCTTTTTACTTTCTAAAACAAAGTTTTGCTAATTTTTAATAATTACCTATTTATATTTCTATAAAATAAGATAACTATATAAAATATCGAACTTCATATATTCATTTTATCAAAGTTTTGTATAAGTTAAAATATTTCACTATGTAATGAAGAATTTTTATTATCAAGTTATTATTTCGATAATCGTTCATTTAAATTATAATCACCAGTTTGCTCATTTGCTGCAAGGTTAGTATTTGTAGTAATAGATTTTAATTTACTAACTGCTTCAACTACTTTACTCATATCTAGACGATTATCTGGTTCATGATCCCAACACTCTAAAAATATATTAAATGGTCAAAAAAATATTTTTTCTAATTATAATTGAATTTAATAAATATATTTACCAGTATAAACTTTTACATAATCTCAGGAATAATTTCTTCTCTACAACCTTTCAAAATACTTTTGATTAGGTCTAAATCATATTTTTCAATATGAAAAGGAGCATATCCACTTGATATTTTCTATAAAAGCATACCAAATTGTAGACATTACTTTTTTCGTTTAGTTTATATGATTGAAATGAGTTAAACTTTTTTAGGTCAATATAGGGAATTATACCAAAATCCTTTTTTAATTCAGTTTCTTCGATTCTTTTTGATAACTCAAAATCCGCCAGTTTTATAATATTCCAGTAAACTAATATATTGTTGGAATGCTATTTATTTATATAATAAAATGTAAATATTTTAGTAATTTTTTTAATAAAAGCACATAAAATTATTTACCAAATCACGATATACAATTCCTTTACTATGTAAGCATGATACAGCATTAGTAATTAAAATGCCAAATCGTATTTATCATTTCAGGTAAGCTCATTAAAGATTTTCTTCAAATAGTTTCGAAGAGTATCTCAATCAGCATATTCCATTACTAATAAATACTTTAGACGATCATTTTGATTTTCTAATTTAAAAATAAAATTTTATTATACTTTAAATTTTAAAGTTTCAATAGTAATAATTATTATAACTAGATCAGAAGTTATACCATAAAGCGAATAATATTATCATGAAAATCAACTTTTTGTTGAAGTTTAATCTTAAAATGATTCAGATTATAAATATTAAATAAAATAAAAAAATTTGTTTATATGATTACGTGTTTTGACAAAATAAGATTTCTTATATATAAATATGAAATGTGGTTAAGTCAAACTTACAACTAAAACCTTATTTAGTTTTAAGTAAACTTGCAGAATGAGCAAAATTACACTCATTCATAAATTTAAAAAGTTCAAATGAAGTTTAATAAAGCATAATTTTGAAAAGAAAATTTTTTTGTAATAAATTGTATGGCGAATCATATTCAGGATAATCTGTTATATTACATTAAAATCAAGTAAATTATTTACCTTGTGAACAATTTCTTCAACTGTGAAAATATTGGAGTTAAAAGATTTCAATGAAAAATCTTTATGTAAACTTTCCAATTTGCACAATAGACTTTTTTAAAATCTCTGCATCCAACCTTTCAAAAATTACAAAAAGAGTTATAATTGTAATGCTTAATATAACTTTTAAAATAGCCTTTTCAATCCAGCTATTTAAATGATCAGGTGTCTGTAACAGATTATGCGAAGGAGATTCAATAACTTTTGTTTAATAGATTCTTCAATAAATTGTATATCTTTAAATAAATCGCTTAAAGCTATTTCGATGGTCGTAATATTATGATGATCTTCTGATCTGAATTGCCATCTTCTGTTTACTAAAGCTCCAACTGTTCAGGCATTTCAGACTATTTTTTTTATGATTTAGTAAATGGTTGGAAAGTTCTTTAATTGGAATGTCTTTAAATAGCAGATTTTCTGCTTTACACCAAAAAATTTTCCAAAATAACAATTCTAAACTTTATATGTCAGATGGCAGAAGTGGTTCAAAATTTTCTATGCTTAGTCTTCCTGGATCATGCCAACATTTCTAAATCATTTCATTATATGAAATTTTTCTTTTTGAATACGTCAAAATTTTAGTAGCACGTAAGCTTTTACTTTAAAGAAAATTAGATATCCTTGGCATAAGAAAGTTTTTTGTTTCATCATACTACAGTAATATATTTGCACTTCTAAGATCTAAATGTAAAATCCCTTTCTGTAAAAGTTATAATTTTATTAAAATATAATACTTTTTATTAAAATAAAAGAAAAAAATAGTGAAAATCCTTACATTATATAAATATTTAACACCTTGTGATATCTTTCATGCTAGTTTGATTTTTCTTTTCAAATCCTTAGTAAGATTCCCTAAAGAAAAATCATTTATTTAGAAATATGTGAAAAGATCATCATAATTCGCATATTCATAAAATAATATGGGTTTACAATTTTAAATTGAATACCCATAAAATTTAATAATATAATCAAGATCATTTAATTGATATTTATTATAAAAGTAAATTTCTTTCTTAACATACAAAGAAATTTTGAGATATCGATACTTTAATAATTTTTCACTAGCAATTGTACTATTATCTAAAGTCATTTTGTTGAATCAAATATTTCTTCAGTTTCTGTTAATGAAGATTCTAATATTTCGATATATACTCAAAAATACATTGAGATAAATCTTGATTATGAATTATGGTTGAATTATCAATATTTATGTTAAGTTCTGATTCATTGTTGAAATTATCTAGTTTAATTTGAATCGTGATATTTTCATCCAAAGCAACTATTAATTTGCCTAAATGATTATTAAATGATTTTTCAGCCATCAAAATGCTAATAAAAATTTTTAAACAAATAGTAAACAAAATGGATAATATTCACATTATATATATATATTTGAATATTCACAGCTCAAGTTTCTCGCTAAACAATGATAAATTTTCCTTTGTAACTGAATTAAAATCATCGACTATATAGAAATAACAAAAAAATAATAAAATTAGAAAGTATATATAAAGAGAATTAATTATGTTATATAAGAAATAGCTTACTAATGCAATTTAAATAATGAATTTATGCATGTACTTGATTTTTTTACAATATCAATAAACTGAGCTTTCTGAGTAATATCACACCAATTTAAACATAAATATCTAAACCTATTCTTATATTCATATAATTTTCGTGCAATTTTCTTAATCTCATCATTTATACCAAATATTCATGCAACTGCATTATTTATTACTTCGCAAAGTATTTTATATAAATGTTCCAATTCAAAAAATGGAACTAATGGATCTGTTAAAATTTTAAACATTCACAATTTCAGAATGATGGTTCAGTTTTTTCATTAGATCTAATATCATTTATATGCTTCTCACATAGCTATAAAATCTCTTGAGTTTCTTCATCAATACTTTGTTTCAATCCGCCAAAATGATCTGCACTTTCTTTTGTATCAAGAAATTCTACCAAAGAATTTTTTAAGATGAAAATGTGTATATCATATAAAAAAAAAGTTGATATTTTACTTACCTTCGAGTTCTCAGAAACCTGAATTATTTATCATTTAATGAGAAATATCAACACTTTTATTCAAAGGAATAAAATCTGGATTTTCATCAACAATATTTTCTATACCAATATTCACAGTATCAATAATTTCTTAAAAATGTTTCATCAAGTCAGAATTGTCAGATATGTTAAAGACTGACATTAGAATATTAGCAATACTGTATGAAAAGTCATTTATTGTCATAACACAGGTTAATGTTTGTAAACTAGCCAAAAAAAAATAAAATAATTAATATAGTATTAAAAACGTTTTTAAATTTACATGGTAAATTACCAAAGATTTATCCAAGATCTATATTTTTTAATAAACTGAAGAACTTTAAGAACTTTATAATCTTCTTGTTCTGGAAAGTGCCATTTTTCTTATTTTTACAGACAAAAACAAGGCGAAATGGACATGTAATTAACCATGTTCTAAGAATAGATATAAATGTTAAAAGTGAATTTATTTAGTTGGCTTTCTTTATAAAAAAAAAAAAATTATTTACGTTGGATTTTTCCAATATTTTTGATCAGGGATCATAATGAACACTTTAGGAACCTTTTCATTTATTAATTTGGCCAATTTTAAAAGAAAAATATAATTGAATAAAATATATTTTTCATTAATTCAAAAAAAAAAATTTACCTATTGTGGAATTTTCTCTGTTAATTTGGATAAATCCTTTGCAGAACTTTTATTATGGTTCATTATTTTTAACCTTTTTTTCATTTTGTCATGATACTTTTTAAGGAAAGCTTGAAATGATTCCTAAAAGTAAAAATTTATCAACTTTTACCTGGGTTAATTTTTCTTAATATCGAATCTCTTCATTCTGAGTCTCATAACCAACCTGAAAATAGTCATATTTAACACTTTTACTTATGTTCACCAATTCTAAATATAAATAAAAAAATTTATTTAAATTCACCAATTGCTTATTGATAATTTTCCTTCTACAGTAGTGCTCCTGAATATATATTACAGGTTGAATTTTTGATATTACGCTTATCAAGCTCTGATTGCTTACCTGAGTCATATGTGTAGTATGTCGATTACTTAAAAAAAATTTTTTTTTATTATTTATATTAATAAAATTTAAAATGATGATTCGTAATTACCATAAATTCTTTCAACGTCATTCTATGTGAAATGCTTTTAACGAATAATTTGCTTATAACTTGGCAAGCGACATAATTACTAATCGACAAGTTATCTTCTGAAATAATTTCATTTTTTGCTTTTTCATTCTCTCTATCCCAAAATGGGTTCCTAGTTATATAAAATTTTACTATGTCGTCAATAAATTTGATAGACAAATTCAAGAACATACCTGTATCAATAAAGTATAAAATTAGTCCAAAAGAGAACATTTCCATTGCAAAATTGGCTCAAATTTTAATTTCTTTATCATTCGCTCTCATAATTTTAGTAGCCGAATAATTTGTTATGATTTTTATATATTCTGAACTATCAGCAAAACATGCTATGTCAAAATTAGCCAATTTCTACCTTTCAGTATAACTGTTCTTTTCTTGAAAGTGCATTATACTTTTTAGTGTTAACTTAGTATATACTATTAAGAAAGTAGTCCAAGAAGTTTGTTAATTAAATTCATATAAATTTGCTACAACTTACAAAAACCTATTGATGTCATATTGTTGAAGTTCTAAGAGACCCATTACTATATTCTAATAACAAACATTTACTTTAATTCTTATAAATGCATCATAACAAGATTAGCAGTATTAATTACCTTTATTATGTCATCTTTCTCCTTGTGTCTTTGATTATAATCTTAATAACTTAAAAATGTTTCTAAATCATAAACAGCATATTCGAGTACCATAATTGCTTGTGATGGATAATTATTTATCAATTGAATAATATTCTATATTAAACAAAATAAATAAATAAAATATTTATAAAATAGATTATAAACATAAGTAAATTTATATAATAATACAAACTTCTGTATTTTTTAATTCATCTAACATTCGTAATTCTCTGTCAAATGCATCTCTTGTTTTGTATTTGTATTCCTTTATCACATAACGAACTTTTGGTTTATTAACTTCATAAACTTTATAAATATTAGCGATTTTACCATAGCTACAATTTCTTACAATTTGGTATCATTCTATATGGATAATGTTAGAATAGATATTTTTATTAATTTGATTCTTTATTAATATTTATAATTACCTTTGAATTCGTACGTTAAATCATATCTCAGATTAAATTTAGGAATTGTTGTATTATCTGGCTTCAGTTCATGCCCCATAAACTTTCATGAAACTTGTTTAACTTGCTCGCAGCCAAAATCTACAATAACAGATTCTTGTTGATTGGGATTAATCACATATAATTGTACAGTTACAAATATAAACAATGAATCAAAAGAGCGATTGATAATATCTAAGTCAATCTGTTTACCAGACCTATTTAATAAGACCACAATATTATAATAAATGTATTCATTTATCAAGAATAAAATAATTGTTTTAGTATAGATTCTGATTTCAACATACCAAGATTTCATGAACACTTGAATTATATGTTCATAATTTGAGAGTGGATATTGGACAGAAGTTGCGATGATACATCCTGGTGATAACTCATCTTCTATATTAATTCGACAGGAAGTTTTCCTACTTGAAATTTCAACCTTTAATTCTTCACAAAATATTTTAGTATTTCTAGTACAATTGCTGAAGTATCCAACAGCCTTTGGTTCACCAATTAGTTGCCAAAAACTTCTAAATCCCTGCAAATGTGTTATTGAATAAATACGAATTGTACATTAATAATTATTTTGAATAATTAAATTAAATGATATTAAGTTACTTTTTTAAAAAAGTAAAAATTACCCTTCGATTTCTTCATTCAAAGTTTTATATTCTTCCATAATTATCGAGAACTCATAGATATCTGCTATCTAAAAGTTTACGTTTAAATCTAATCTTTTGTTATTCTTAACAACAGATCCTATAACTTGATAATCATTGCTTGTTAGATAATTATCAAAATTGACTCTGTAGTAACATATTTTATGACTACTAAGTTTTGTAACCCCTGTTATTAGAATCTTTTGTTTATTTTTTAATATATTTTCGATTTGTCTTTTGTATTTATCATCAAGAATTTTATATAATGGAAATAGTACTGGTTGATTTGCTAAAGACCATAAACTTTTCTTCTTGGAAATATCATTTAACCAAGTTTCTATTTCATTTAAATTAACTGAATGGTAATGTGCAATAAGTTTATTTGGAACATCCATATTGAATTTTTCTAGTAGATTCACTAACATAGTTTTAACACAATCTTTCGACACAGTCCATTTTTGACAGAATTCCTTTTGAGTTACAAACTGATTTGCAGTACATAATATTTCTCCTATCGTAATCTCTATACAAACTATATGACCATATTCTGAAAAGACTTTGATCAATAATCTGTATGGATTTATGTTTTTTAAAGCTTCATTGATTTCTTTAATGAATTGTTAAGATGGTTTGATTACAGTAGCGATCATAAGTATCCGACCGCCTGAGATCGTCCAAAATTATTATATAACTACCCCTTAAATTTTCCAGAAATATAATATAACACAATACATG